TCACTCCCAAACACATGGCCAGCCAAAGACACTGTAAGTGCACACAAGGAAATCTGCCCCACAACTTTTCTGTACAGGCTTGTGCATATTTCATGTGGTATCTAATTGGTAAATATTTATAAGCATTTTGAATATTTGACATGATGGTTTATTTAACAATTTCATTACAAATCTTGCATGAAATATTTCTGCTTTTTGTCCCCCTCTTTTCTCTCAGCTTTGTTTTCTTTCTACAATAATTTTTACTTGGGGGAGTTTTCTGTTCATATTTACAGAATTGCCTCTCCATTTTTTTTCCTGCTGTCTCTTCTCAAAATGCTAATCTAAGCAATGCAATATTTCTCTCCTTGATATATGTGTATGTGTGATGTAGAATAAATACAAAGAGCCAAGAGCTCAAAGAAACATAAAAAGAGACTCTGTGCAATGTGCCTACAGCTTTCATTTGCACAGCAAATTTATAATGCTACCCAGAAATGCCAGATAGGTTCCTCATCTTAGTTTTTCTCATTTCACTTAACTTTTTTACTCAAACTCCATCCCTCTGACCTGAAACAGCTCTTTTCTGAAAAAATCTGGTTGGTTTTGAACAGATGTGGAGACATGACAGAGTTCATTTAGAACATAATCAACAGATAATAATAGGGTACTCAGAGAAATTGCAGTGAATGACAAGTACCATCAGCCTTTTCAAAACAGCAAAATTAGACATTTTTAACTCCACATGCACAACAGTGTTAGAAGAAGCAGGAAATTACTAATTTGGAATCCTTTTATTACATTCTAGTTTTTAAAAAATGATATTGTAACATTCTCAGGCATTATCCTGATCCTGCTCTGCTCACTGCCTCTATTGGAAATAAAATTCTCTTCCATGTGTAATTTGAAACAGACTGGCTCTCTTGCCTACTGGGTTGTATCCCTCATCTTCCTCCCTGAGGCTTGACAGCAGGATGAGGCCTCTCATCTCTCATGTGTGATCTGCAATTTTCATTACTGTAAAAATCCATCTGGTTCATGAGCCTCTTAATCCTCAAACTTCCATAATGTGGCATTTAACTGGGAGTTTGGGAAGGTCTGGGTTATTGTCATTGCCTGTGTGTGCTTCTGCTGCTCCGCCAGGAGAACTGAGCTGGGGTTTGTGTCCCCAGCCCTGAGTTTCCTGTTGTGGTACAAGTCTGACCCCACTGCCTGGCCAGGCTTGCAGCCAGGATGGTTCTCCACAAAGCTTATTTGGACAGCAGGGCCGTGAAGTGCCTGGTTTAGGGGTAGGACCCAGCTGGCAGGGCAGTGGTGAAGTGGGGACTGTCCCTTTGCACCCCAAGGCACAGTGGCCATCTGCCCCTCTGTGCTCTGGCAGAGTCAGGGGAGGCCTCAGGGCTGTGATCTTCAAAAACCTTGGTGTAACCAGAACCACAGAGAATCACAGAATGCTCTGAGTTTGAAGGGACCCACACAGGTATCAAAGTCCAGCTCCTGGCCCTGCACAGAGCAGCCCCAAGAATCCCATCATGGTCCTGGGAGTGTTGATCTCCTTGAGCTCCGTCAGGTTTGACCTGTGGTACTATGACCACTGCCCTGGGGAGCCTTTTCCAGTGCCCAATCACCCTCTGGGTGAAGAATATTTTTCTAATATACAACCTAAACCTCTCCTGACACAGGTTCAGGCCATTTCCCCAAGTTCTGTAACTGCTCACCAGTGCAAGGAAGTATCTGGAAATGCATCCTTGTTCTTCTTCACCTCCTCCTCCCACCCCTGGCTAATCTCTGCCCTGGGGTGCAGCCTCCCATCCACTGTCCCAGCACTCCTTCCTGCAGGGAAAGCAGCACCTTGGATGCTTCCAAATGTGTGAAATACAGGCAAATGTGTGAAATAAACAGTGCTGGCATGAACACCAGTAGAGCTGGGATGTTGCCTGTAAATAAATCTTCTTGGCTTCCTTGGGATTTTTCCCGTGCGTCAGAACTCACAATTCAGGATTTCAGGTGCAGGTACAGAATTTCTGCTTGCGTCACCAGAGCTGGGCATTGCAAGCCAGGATCAGGAGAGGCTTGGCTGTCAGACCTCTATTAATCTCAGTTTTTAAGTAAAGAATAATGTGTGCTTGAGAGAAATACCTTGACATGAGGAGAGTCATTGAGCGTGTTCTCGCCATCAGGGTGATCAGGATTTTCTATGATGACTGTGAGCATTAAGGAGCCCAGAACAAAGATGACAAATGATTTTGTAAAAGGGATCATCAGAAGACACAGCAGGTTCAGTGATCTTTGAGACTTGTTTTAACAGATGAGCAGTCTCCTGAGAGATGTAATATGCCTGCCTGCCTGGCTGCAGAATTGCTGTAGAGCAGTTTATTTTATTTTATTTTATTTTATTTTATTTTATTTTATTTTATTCTTTCTACAGCTTGTACCTTGGACAGGATGTATGGCTGCTTGCATCTACTTAAAAATCAGAGTAAAAACCTTTGACTGAGGAAATCATCCATAGTTCCTACAAACGTACAGAATCAGTAAAAACATTAAGGTTGGAGACATGCATAAAGTCGGGTCTTGATAGAGTTTGCCTGCTGGGAACCTGCCATTTGCAGATGCTTTGGAAGCACTTTGCTAGTTGCTACTAAATATCTTTCCTTAAAGAAAGGAGAAGAGGGAAAATAATGCAATCTAATACAAACTAGTTGCTCAGATGATGTGGAAGTGGTGATGAGAATTAAAATGTGCTGGTTAAGAGATAAGCTTGTGAACTTTGCAAACAGTACATAGAGAATGGTATTAAAGCCCAGCAGAGTTCTCACCCTTGGTTTTTTTTAAGCTGCTGAGCTAATTGAGCGTCTCCATTACCTGTGGCAACAAGGCATTTCATGCCCACCCTACACATGTTTTCAGATCCATCCATATTTGCTGTCCTTCACTATTTCTGTATTTATTTTGAGGCTGATATTTTTGTTTGGCCATCTATTCTCTCAGTGAAGAGGTAAGCTCTCAATTTATTGAAATTCATCTTGGTGTGGGGAAGATTAAAGCATGGAATTGCTTTGAGAGGAGTGCTTTGAAGCCATAAAATAAAATCTCTTTCATTTACATTTCAGACTTTACCTCACCCTGTATTTGAACACATTTACTCCACAAATCCTATCTATCTCCACAAAATGCTCTTGTACTGGATTTAGATGTAAATGGACCATCAGATTTTGCCTGAGACATAAGAACATCTTAAATCTTCGAGCTCTAGCTTGGCACATTTATGGAAGTCTTGGTGCCCCAGCTTCTGCAATGGGGCATTCACCCAGATAAAGATCTGCTGGTTGTGCTCTTTATGTCTCCTCTTAATGAAGATTTGAGGTTCTTGCTCCCCTCCATTAACAACACAATTAGAACACCTGGTCTGACTACAGCACTAAAGGACAAAGAGAGAAACTCAGATCTAAAGTTTTTTGATACATAAGAGGATGTAAGCATACAAGTTTCACCTTGCATGAGGCGTCAGCAGTAAAATCCCTGCTATTCCCCAGCTGTCTTCAACCCCTTCTCCTAAACTCAGATCAGAAATGGCTCCTTCCCCTTCCTGTGAGAATGCCCCACTTGCAGCCCTGAGGGGCTTTCTGGCTCCCTGTGATTATTATTCTGTGGTTATTCAATTATTCTGTGCTCTACCCAGCTCTTCCATGCATGAAAAGTGAAGTTGGGACATGCACACACATTCATGGTAGAAGTAACCTCAAACCCATGACAAAGTCATTAAACCAACTGATTTTAAAAATTCATTAACATCTCAGTTCTGAAGGGGAAAAACTGACCAAAGAAGTTAAGCCATCTCTAATTAAGTATTTTAGACAGTGCTGTTCCAACTAATTAATGAATGTTTGTACAGTGCTTTGAGATCTTTGTGTAACAAGGAAGGCTCATATGTTGCTATGTGTAAATGATAGAATAGATAATTTAGAAAATACAGAAGCACAAAGCCAGGTTACCCTTATCACTTCATCAAAGCCAAGTTTAACTGTCTTCTTCTTTTGGCTGCTGGCTTAATTAGATAAGGTTCTGAATTTAATTAACTCATCAAACCTAATTTGAAAAGACCTCTCAAATCAGTTAGAGCTTGTCTTGTGCTTATTATTCCTATTTGTTGCATGGAGCCTTTAATATCACCATTTTGTTATGATATGAATGGTAGCCTTAATTGCGTTCTAATTTACAACATTTACTCAGATGGTGGCACTCTCCTTGTTTTTTAAGTGTCAGCTTGTGAAAATCAATCACAATTTAATTTAGGGAAATTGCTCTTCTAGTCCTCTGTCAAGTCAGGTACAGGTTACCTCCTCCCCCGTAAGTGTAATTTGGGTTCTCAAAGTGAAATTATTTCACAGGAAATCATGTTGAGTTTCTGAAGTTCCATTTCTTGGAGAGGTGGTATGACAATTTTCATCTGGATGCTCTTTCAGGACAGTTTAACTAAATTCCAAGGTTTGAGGCTGAAGTTGGTATTGCAACTATATAATTCATTTGAACACATCTGTGTGTGATGCTCCAGCTTGTTGTACCAGTCTGAAACTTCTTGAAAGTTATGAAAGAAAGAATTACTAGGAAAGAATCTAAACTGTAAAATTTGCTGTGTATTTTACCCAGTTAGCTGGACCTTTTTCTTGGCCATATTTTTACATTCCTAGAGATACACCACACAGAGAGCAGACATCAACTGATTGCTTAAAATCAAAATTTCCCTAGAAATTATTTACTTGTTCTGTAAAACTTGTTCTATTATCATGCAAACTATGCTGCTGGTAGAAACATTGCTAATTAAGTCTGGAGGAGTTCCTGTACTTTTGTGAAAAGCCATCAACATGCTGTGTAAATGAAATGCTTTCTTACTCTTCCAGGCAGCAGTTTTGCAGGAGTAACCTTGCTCACGATTGCTCTCTCTCCTTTCTTTCATTTGCTGTTTGCAGCCCAGCTTTCCAACACACAAATTAATACCTTTTTTTTCTGTTTTTCCTCAGAATGACTATAGGAAGTTATCTATGCAATGCAAGGACTTTGTTGTGGGGGTGCTGGACCTGTGCAGAGACACTGAAGAGGTGGAGGCCATTCTGAATGGAGATGTGAACATCCACCTGTGCCCTGAGCACCACCGGCCGAGTCTGAGCAGGATTAAACTTGCTATTAAATACGAGGTCAAAAAGGTAAGCTCCTCCTTTGGGTCCCATATGTCTTCACATTTAATGATGCTTCCTTGATGCCTCCTGAAAAATAAACAAAAGATAGATTTCAGTGGGACCAGGACTGTCCCTAGAATTTTAGCAACTTGTGGCTTGATTTGTATTTTCTCACTTGCTTTAATGTGGAGAAGGTTATCTGCAAAGTGAAAAATAAATTCTTCTAGAAGTATTTGAAACAACTAGCCAGCCTTACAGAAGCGTGTTGTGTGAATGGAAAATGTCATTCTGGCAAATTCTAGGCCTGGGTGGTCCCAATTAATTGCTCCTACAATATGCTTTGATGGAAACTGGGCTCCTGCTATGGGACTCGAAGAGCATTCCAAATTTTTGAGCTAACATCTGGTCTCTCATTCCCCTCCCAAGCCCACCACCTGCTCCATTTTGCCTCTTGACTGTGCTGGCTGGAGAAGGTCTTTTCCTGTTATGAAAGCCATTAATTAAAGAGAATCTTAAAACATATTTGAAATTAAATGCTTTCATGCAGGAGCACGTAGCACAGAGCCAAATATTCTCTCCTAGGATGTTGCGTCTCTGCTTTGTTCCATCACCAAGACCAAGCTGAACATCTCAGTTCACTCTCAGTTCAACAAGCTGGGTCAAGCTTAGTAATTGAAATTGTTGCTTTGGTAACAGGAGGCCAAACTTGCTCTGGTGCTCCTTCAGAAAATGAACTAATCTAAAAGACACAGTGCCTCATCATGGAACAGTGCCCAGTGATCCATGACCTGAGAATCATCAGTCACAGAATCACAGAACATTCTGAGCTGCAAGGGACCTTGAGCCTTTTCAATGTGTGAATTCTCCTGTGCTACTTTGCTCACTTATCCTCCTGAAAATTTGTGTCATCCTTTTGCTACCAAGACCACGAGCTGGAGCTGCTGTGCTGCTCTGGGCACTTCCACCCTGGCTTACCTGGCTCCAGAGGGACATTCCCCCATTTCTTACCCTGTCTGTATGCGCAGCTTTTCACAATGCATGAACATTGACCTAAAGCACCAGTGGGGGTCATGTACAGTGGATCTTTTCATTAATAAATATCTTCCTAAGCCCAGGAGAGCTGAGCATCCTTTGTGGATCACAGCAACTTGTTGCGCACTGGTAACAACAGTTAAACTAATTGCAGGATTTCAGGATGGCTCTCATGTCAGCACTTTTCAGCACATTCCTTTCAGCAGCTGGTGTGTGTCTATGTGTAAGATGAGTGTTTAACTGCTGACTCCAAAACAAGGCAGTTCAGCCTGTGAGAGACACAGACACACTCAGATAAATGGGTTTGGCTTTGGCAGTGACGTGATAATGGACTGATGTTGGTCACACTTGCTGAACAAAGACATTGTGTTATGGTGACACAGTAATTAATTCCTGAAGAGGCAATGCACTTCAGGTGCAAGCTTTTTATTCAGTTGAGAGATATTTAGGTTTATGTGTACAAATCCTGTGCTTTGAAATCCATTTCCATTTTAAGGAAATCCTATAACAGCGAGGGGTCAGAGGGAGGGTGAAGTATTACACATATTTAATGGACAGATTCTGTAAATTTCAAGTCACTTTTCCAAAGCTAATGACTCATCATGACTAGATCTTGTCCAGCTCTGGGCTCCTCAGTACAAGAGAGATGTGCAGCTCCTGTGATGGGTCCAGCAGAAAACAAGGATAATTAAGGCACTGGAGCACCTTTCTTATGAGGAAAGGCTGAGGGAGCTGATCCTGCTCACGCCTGAGAGGATTCCCCATCCATGCCTGTCAGTGCCTGCAGGGAGTGCCCAGAGGATGGACCAGGCTCTGCTCAGTGCTACAACTAACAGAAGAGACATCAGACAGGAACTGATGCCCAGGAAATTCCACCTGAATATAAGAAAGAATTTCTTTACTGTTATGTGACCAAGCACTGGAAGAGATCACCCAGAGAGTGTGGAGTCTGCTCACTGGGGATACTCAAGAACTGTCCCAGCATAATCCTGTGCCATGTGCTCTGGGATGACCCTACCTGGGCAGGAGTTTTATACAAAACAGCTTCAGGGACTTCAGAATGGTCTGACGAATGAAAAAAAAAGAAAGAGGGGTTAGTGGTTATGAGTTATTTTTTCATTAAGTTCATATCCAGACTAAATATTTGCGCTCGCATGGGAAATTTTAAGAAATATTTGATGTTTAAAAAATCTATTTCTACCATTAGCTTCTTAATTCCCATTTCCATATTAATACTTAGTGCCTACAATAGACTTTCTTTGATGAAAAATTGCAGAGAACCATGAAATGCATTGAAAATTATTATTTAATATCCATTATTTTACTTTTACAGCTGCTGATGCAGCCTGTATTTCATCACATTTTTATTTCTAGAGTCTGGCAAAGATGTCAAGGACTCCCACCCTCAGAAGAGCAATTGCATCTGCAGAGTTTCATCAGGCCTTTGCAAAATCTTTTAAAATCTTTCTAGCTCTTCCAAATTTCTTTGTTACTTCACTGTCCTCACACAGTGCAGTTACTGCAATTATGGTGTCTAAGGAAAATCTTGTGTTCACTCAGAGCTGAAGCATTCTTACCTTCTTTGCTCAGTAAACCTGCAGCTGGTACCTACAGCAGGATTTTTTCTATATTAATGGAAATGTCTCTGCATTTTTCCTTCTGTGTTTCCAATCAAAGTCCCCTGTTACCTCATTCATTTTCAACTTCAAAAAAGCAATTCTCTGGTCAAGTGAAAGGACATGGTTTTATTGATCCTTATCTTTATTCCTAATTCACAAAGTTTGAGATGAACCTTGTAAAGTCATTCAAGAAAGCATCAACAATTATAGGCTCCATTTGTTGGTCTCTTTTTTTCTTTTCTTTTCTTCTGCAAAACATCCTACTAACACATATGAGAGAATGGTGAAACGCTTAAGGCTCTAATTCAAGGACTTTCTATAATAGAAAGATATTTGAAGAATTAAGAAACACTGCTTTTACATATTTTGCATCAAGGAGAAACCCAAAATTACAGTAGTTTATAAAGTCTTTACAAAAATGGTGCATTGCTGTTATTCTTCACACTTTTTGAAAGAACTAAATAATCACTCTGTACTCCAAGATTTTTTGGAAAAAATCACTCAAATATCCTCTGACCAAGTTTTCCAGAAGCATTTTTCCATTTAGATCAGCTGTCTTAATGATTCCTTGAAATTTATCAAAATGGAAACAGTTTTTCAAGAGCAAGACAACCAATTTTCAAACACTTAAGCAGTTACTGAGTCCTGGATTCTTTCCAAGAACTGAAATTTTTGCCCATGTTATGGGATTGTTGCAAATGTACCATTGTCTCCCCTGGTTTGTTTAGTGATGCTTTTAGAGATTTCTTTCTCTCCCAGCTCTGCAGGGTCAGGGGCACAGGGAGGAGGAGGGTGGGGAGCAGGAGGAGCAGCCAAGCACCCTGGTGATGCTGCAGCCAGACTGCCCAGGTGCTCACCTGGACACTGGAGCAGAGGCTGGGAGCTCTCTCAGTGACACCAAACTCTGGGGGGGTCCAGCAGCTGCTCACAGAAGTGGCAAAATAAAAAAGCAGCATTAAGGTAGAACAGGTGGCTTTGGTGGATTATGACCAAAAGTGGCTTGAGTTGCTAAGTTCTGATCCCAAGCACCGTGAGCGCTGTGGCCGTGGATATCCTCAGCTCCTGCTCATGCAGGTTTACAACATCTGAAAGCTTACTGTGCTCTTGATTGAAAATTTTACAGTAATGGTTTTTTTCTTTTCTTGGAACATTCAAACAAATTTGTTTTCACTCAGCTACTTGAAATGTAAGGGTAGCACACATTTTTTCTCTGTGTGAACTCATTTCTAATTAAGCCAGAATATGATTCCTGCTTTTGAGAGGCAGAGGTTCAGAGGTTGGAACTACCCTTGGACAGCCAACGGTGAGAAAATTAAAGTTTTGATGTCTTACAATGAAATTATTCTGCGGTATATCAGCTGCACAGATGCACATATTTTATGTTCTCATTTTAGTCTGTACCAACATGATCCTTTCTTGCCTCTCTTTAATGTTGGCAGGGGACTTGTATCAACATTTACCTTTAGGTATAAAGCTGTGGCTTCTCTGTAGGTGTACAGCCATTGCTCCTCTGTAGGAGGGGACATTCATTTCCCTTCTTTCCCAGTGGCAAAATTGTCATTGCTCTTTTCTTTTAATTGCAAATGTTGAGTGCCCACCTCTGTCTTCTCAGCAGCTCTGCCCATAACCACCACAAAGCCAGAGCACCTTTCTCTTTCACGAGTTTTAATTGAATTAACAGTAAGACACACAAATTGGGTTGGGGAAAAAAAATAAGAATTAAACAGAACACCAGATGGCTGTGTAAATCCTATTTAAGAGAGAACTGGAACAGGAACTTTTTTCATAACTATATTATTAATAATTAACATATGGAGGATGCTCTGAGCAGAATACTCACGGCTGCATTAGATTATAACTTTTCACTGTGCTGGTCACATGGTTCAGATACTTGAGGGCATGAGGAGTCCCAGCTCTCATTAACTGCTGCAGCAGCCTGGATGGGAGCAGGAGAAGGCCAGGAGAGCCAGCCCTGCCTGTGCTGAAGGGCTTTGGCCTCAAATGTGCAGTAACAGCCACTGCCCCACTGGAGCATCCTCAGGAAGGTTACCTGGGACAGCCTGGGTTTTGCCCAGGAAACACAGGAAAATAAGGTGGGAACAGAGGGCAGGAGAGATCCAGAAGTGACCAGAAGTTCTGGCAGCAGGAGAGCAAGGAGTGTCTCTGTGCCACATGCCATGGTGGGTGAGATCTCTCTGCTCTCAGTTATCCTGCAGGATTCTGGGCACAGCCACACCTGCACACCAGCCTGAACACCCATGGAAAACTACATGTGGGTAACCCAGATGAATGATTCACATCCACAACTTCAGTTTAGGAATTTCTCACAGGACAAACATTGACCTTTCAGTGCCCCAGTGACACAGATATGGCCTG